GTGTTTGAAACAAGGTGATACTGTATCGATTACTGTGCCTGTGCAGTTTGTAGTTCAGGAAATCGGTTGAAGCAGCACCTTTGGCATAGGGGAACTTCCCTCGGCACAAATTTGTGAAGGACAATGCTCAAACTTGGCAAGTTCATCAGGTCATAAGTCAAGAAGTGCCGGGGGAGTTCGGGATCCAGAGACATGTTGTGTCAGACCAGTTGTGCGGCTCGGCCGTCCGGCGTGGCAAGCTGAGCGTTGAGATTCAAGTAGGCCTCAGTTTTGTCGAGGAAGCGCAGCTATGCAGAATCAGCGCATCTGCCGGCTATAACCTACGTAGAAACACAGATCGACAGCACTTGTGCCTGCGTCGTCGGAACAAAAACTGCGCACATCTACAAATCCTCAAGAGCTTTGCGGTGCTGTGCTTAAGTAGAGCAACTGAACTCTGCTTTCACAATTTCAAGATGATACCTCAGAGCTTATACTGGTGGACGATGTAGTGCGTTCCTCATCTTTTTCCACAACATATTAAATTTCATCACTTTACCGCAAATTATGTTTGCACTTACCCCTTCTGTTCTTGTGTAGTGTGGCATTCAGTCTTCGTTGGACTACTTGGCAGTTGAAGTCATTGACTGGGATAGACATACCCGAGGCTGAATGGACAACGGGACAACGCTGCAATTTTTTTGGGTTTTACATCCGGTTTTTGACGTTTTCGATGGTTCTTTGTTCGGAGTCGACTCCAAGGTGTTCAATCGGTTCACTTTTGAGGCTTTAAAGCTCAGTGAAGCTCCACCGCCACCTCCGGAGGCTGAGCTTCACTCTCAACAGCCATGTGCATCCCCCAAGGCCACTTAACTAACTTGCGAAGTACGGATCACACAGCACACATGATTATGATAATTCCTTTCACCGCGCCTACAGGCCACAAGACCGGACCTGGAACAGAGATTTGATTTGAGAGCAATTACGATGTAGACACAAACACAACACACTTAATTACTTATATGGCAGTGATCCGATGATTGTAGTGATGGAGCAACCCATTGTTCTCTCCTTTGTACGTTCTTTCAATAGAAGATTCCAAATACTCATCAAGCCATTCCCATTCAGGCAGTGCGAAGACCCCCACTGGAGGTGCAGATTGAAAAGCATTCTTGAAAGAAGTGAAGTGCATTGGAATGATATAGGAGGTCACTGACATGTTGAGTTTTTGTTCCAGACAACTGGAAGCTATGAACACCTGCGACCGTGGCAAAGCTCTCGTCCCGTTCTGAAGGATCCATCTGGAGCAGCGAGGCATGTTGTGCGTCAAGACGGGAGTTTGGGCAACATTGCCCTGGGGATCCCTGGGGTGACCTTGGTGTTTCTTGAACCAATCGCCAGCAAACATGACACAGGAATTTCCATTTTTTTGTTTTATTTGGTCATCAACAATGGAATTTGTTTTAAAGTTTGAAGGGCAGACAGAGTTTTGAAATTATCATAAACAGATGTGGGCTTGCCGACACTCTTGCTCCAAGTGCTCTTTGCAGGGCCGACCTTCCAGAGCTTGGAACAAAACCTCTTCCTCCAAAGGCGCCTGGGAGAATATTGGACATGTCCTCAATCGGATGTGGACCAGACATCGACTCTGCAAACACTAAATACAGACTGACAGTATAGATATGCCAAGTGGCGGATTGGTCCTGTGGTTTGGACGTAGATGGCCCAGATGGCGGATTCTACGGACCAAGCCACTTGCTTCTTCTTTGTTTCTTTGGCCGCACGTTTGATCAATCCTTGCACATGTGACTGTACAAAACAACTTTCGATGATATCTTTGGTCAGATCGTGCTCCGACTTCTCTTACCAAATCCATTGCATTCAAAGGGTTGAAGCAGACTGGCTGTCTCCTGTGCAGCGCGGCATGCCCAGACCGCCACCTCCAGGTGGGGCAGGGGTAGGAATCATGACCATCTCAATCAATTTAGATTTCATAGGATACCATCCAGCAGGAATCAGTGGAGCTTGCATCCGCAATTTGCATGGATGGCTTTCGTTGCAGAGCTGAGGCAGAGAGCAAAAGGTGTTCTTAAAAGCTCCAAAGCAAAGTGTTGTTTGTTTGATATAGTTTTCATATCTTGATCCAAATTTGAAGTGCCAGTGTTCCAAGAATTGACCATCACGTAGGGAATGTACAGTGGAGTGGAAGACGCTCCAGAGTTGCCTGCTGATTTTCTGGACAGATTAAGCGATTCTGGACAGATTGTGTTCAGTACATTGATATGTCTCCATACCGTAACCGCCGTATGCCACAACGTAGTCTTAGTGCTCCAGTTGGCGGCCTCTCCGCATCCAACTGGCGGAGCAACAAGATCGTGGAAACGGAACAAGTCCCTTGGCTGCGGTTCATTCACTTGAGTTCAGTCGTTTCTTTTTTTTCTCAGGAAATGACCTCCTGAACTCAAGTCTTTCATGCAATTGACCATGTCAGCCTGCTTGAGGATAGTTTAGATTAGTTTAGGCGTCGCTGAGTTCCGTCCAGGCTGGCCCAATGTCCAGCAGCCGTGCACGTCAGTGGCCTCAACACTCTTCAGGGCTGGCTGTAAAGATTCTGAGCCCTTCAGATCTCCTCGAGGAGGCTTCTGGCAGGGAATCCAGGCAACAGAGGTTCAGTGAAGGCTAATACCATCGCCAGACCTAGGTACAGCAGTGGAGATGAACGAGGATGTTCAGGTCCAATTTGTTGCCAGCTGATGCCAATTGATATTGCGTCGTGGAACCCATGGGCTTTCAATATGTATTACAAATATATACACGTATAAGATAAGGTGAGCCTTGTGGAAGGTGTTTCAATGCATGTTTGTTTGGGACGATGATTGGGGGTAGAATGGTTCGACCTTCCTTCCAAGGCTTCCTTTAATACAGTGAGCCCTTGTTGGGCCCTTTGAGTTTTGATTCTGGAAGTGACACTGTATTAGAATTCTCATTAAATTCTTATTGTTACTAGTAAGGCACTTGTTACTAGTAGCGTGGCACTTGTTACTACTAGTAAGGCACTTGTTACTAGTAGTTGTAGGTCTAGCCCTTGGCTCAATTCTTTCAGACCAGATTACCATGTGGTAAATGGGATGACTTGTCCAATTGAGGCCGTTTCTCACGCCGATGAGGTGGTCTTAGCACGTGCACGTGGTGCACTCCTCCGACGGCCACGTGCCAAGGGCAATTGGGTTCAGGCGCCGAGCCAGAGCTGGCAGAACTGGAGCAACTTCCCCTGACGTGTTGTGTTTTGTGCCTTAATAAAGGCATTGTAGGGTCCCTAGACCTGTGAGCCAGGCTATGCCATAAAGGGAACCCAAAGGAGAAGTATATTGGCTTGTAGCAACCAACATAGACTTGTGACGGGTGTCAAGTTTTTGATGAAGTGGACACCACTGTGGACAATGTTCATTGTTGTATATGTGTGTGAAGATATTTTTCCACGCTTGAAGTTTCACCTGGTCAAGAGGCCTTTGCTCGGCACGACACCACTGGTCTTGGAGAGCTTAGTCCAGATCCTAGGCAGAGATGTGAAGTCTTGCCAGACCCAAGATGCTGGCAATGTACACACTGCACTTCCAAAGGAATTTGACACGACAAGGGACTACCATGTATACTCTTTCCTGAGCATAGATTGCAAGCAGAGCTCTTGTGGGCAGCTATCAGCCAGCCAGAGCCTTGATCAGTTTGGCCAGAGCGTTGAGGTGTGGAGCAATTCGCTTTTTTTTCTCCAATCCCTATCTGTGGGTCTGAGCTTGCATGAGGCACGCAGTGCATACTGATAGGAAGAGCAAGATTTGGTTTGAACTTGCCTGTACTTGTGCCAGCATGCTGCATCAACTTAGACACCACTGCTGCAACTGCCTCCAGAGACACTGACCATGTTTCAAATTCCTGTCGTTTTGGAGCTTCTGGGACTGCGGGGGCTTATTCCTGATTCCGGAAAATTTGGCCGAAAATTTGGCCCAAACTCAAAGGGCTTGGCCTTGGCAAAAGAGCCTTGGCTTCTGCTGCAGGTGCGGAAACGGGTCGGGAACGTGAGGCACTGAACGCAGAGTGCTCGAAACTATTATGCTGTCAGGCCATGCTCGCAGCGGACAAGCTCCTGCTGACGAGCACAATCCGAAAAAAATGCCACAGAGCTTAAGGGAAAGGAGCTGGCATTGCACAAGGACCGGCAATGACGGAACTGGACAGGCATTTGTCATTTGTCATGAGTGTTTTCTTTTCGGTTGGGAATGACTGAAGTGGAAGAGGTATCATCTCCTTTTCGATATAAAGCAGCAAGTCAGTTTGCCTTTCAGTAAAGCAGCCTCTTATGATACTGTATCTTATGATCATTTACATGCAACGAAGAAAGTTCTGTGACAGCATGCAAATTCTGGGTGGTCAGTATGTCATGCTGGCGCAAAGAGGGTCAAGTTGGGCATATTTCATGCGCAACGTTGGAGGGCAACTTCGATGCGGTGGGCACACAGGCAGCGGTGCTCGCAGGTTTTGCAGCCACTGTGCTCGCAGAAATTCATAAACAGAATGAAACTACAGTAAAAACAACAGTAAGGGCTCCTCATGAAGACCCTCACGGCCCCCCTTTTTCCACGTTTTGTTTCTTGTGTATTGTATAATTATGAATCGTTTTTTCCTGAACGTCCAGTCACCGTCATGGATCCTTGGTCAGAGCACTACCCAAGTCACGCTGTTGGGAAGGCATTGTGCAATGCGTCAATTGCCAATTTTTTGGCATGCAGGTTCGATGTAGGTCGCTATTCCCAAATGAATGGGTTATAACGGGTTATACCATTTGCAATGGAACCATCCAAGTCTGCTTTGCATTTTGGGAATCTTCATGTGTTTGAGAGCAGGTGTTATGGTGTTGCCCCTGTGAAATTTGCCCTTGCCTTTTAATCTAGAGAGAGCACGCTGTCACAAGATTATCAGAGGCTAAATTCTCCAGGTGTTGGGCGATTGTGATTGATGAGGTTGTTATGGTGGTGGAGTTCCACATGCCAGAGGAAGCACACTTTGCCCTGCAAGGCATTTACTATGTCTTTGCCGTCATCACGTGTCTTGACGGCCAGTGGACAATTCACGAAGCTCAAGTTGGTTGGATGCTGCTAACACACCAAATCGTGGTGACAGGAGCAAACATGCTGCCAAAAAGAGTCAGTGACTTGTTTGCTTCCGCTGTTGTGCGCAATAATGTTGGATCTTGATTAGCAAAAACAAGCAAAAACACCCCGCCTAGCAAACAATTCAGGGGGTCTGAAGAGTATCCAGGGGGTCGTAGTCGTAGTAGTAGTAGTAGTAGTAGTAGTAGTAGTCGTAGTAGTAGTCGTAGTAGTCGTAGTCGTAGTAGCAGTAGTAGTAGTCGTAGTAGTAGAAGAGACAAGTAAGGATTTGAAAGGGCCGCAATAGCAGAACAGCAGACAAGCAAACAAAGCCAAAAAAAACCCTGGGTGAAAAGAGACTTTATATTATTCCGTCCCATTAAACTAATAATCAGGGTGTGTGAATAATTTGGCGAAACATTTTTTGTTATTCCGTCCCATTATGTTAATTAGGATGCAACATTAACTTAGAGCAATCAACTGTAGAAGCTAGGAATATCAGAGGCCATTCACACACATTGTTGTGTTTGTAAGCAGAGGGATAGTGGATGTACAGGGCACCTGATTAGTATAGGTACCTAACACTGACTCCCACTCACTTGATGACTCGGCTCAGGCTGGTCGCCAACCTCAGATGTGCGGAGAGCTCAGATGGAAGGAATTTTCATTAGGGTGCGGGTGCGTTGCACTATTTCATTTGGTGCACTGTCGGCTAGGTGGCCATGACCACGTGCATCACAGTGATGGGAACTGGATTGGCCTTACGGGGCCCAGACGGCTCCATGGTGCGTGCTGTTGAAGGGATGTACAAGCAGAGAGCCATCGTTTTTAGGCCAGAGTCTCAAATCTGACTTGGAAAGACAACGGCTTCAGAGCTTCAGACAAAGGTGGGTAAGTTTGAGACCCCAAGAAAGGCCCAATGGGGAAACTCGAGCAATTTCTAAGATACATCGTGTGGGTGTATAGTTGTTGTGTTGAATGCGTTTCTTTCAAACCCGATGAAGTGTTGAAGGTCCTTCGGCGCCGGCATTGTCTCTTGTTGCCTCAGCGTGGCGGTGATCGCTTGGATCAAGCCACTGAGATAAATGACGGTCACTGGACATTCATTGCCAATAGCTGCCATATCTTTTGAGGTGCGTCTAGAGAGGGGTGCAAACTCGACCCTTGTGAGGAATTTCATGTCAGTCTAAAGATGCAAGGTTGCATGTCTAAGCACCTTTTCTGGGTCTCTTCGATGCTCCAAACCGTCGATTTTCGTATTCTTTCCATGTTTTCATTGCCTGACCATTGCATGCTGCGACTGGGCAAGTTGTTTCATGTTGTGAGTTTAACCTGCTCTGTGGGTCCAACAAGTCCGTGTGTTCTGATCCTGTTTTATCCCATGCCCGTCAAGTCATTCATTTCCACCAACAATTGATCTATTTGCGGAGCCCATGACAATTCAGATGTTGCCAAGGTGTTTGATTCCTGGGGCGAAAGCTTCAGGGTTTTTGCTTGGATGATGACTGATCTACGTTTTGTTTTCTGTGTTCAGGATGGACGCCATCCCTGCTGCCATTTGCACTGGCGCCATTGCATGGACACTATTTTCAATAGCTCCTCTCTGGCACTTATATATCTCAAGCTTCTTAGTGCTCACCCTTCTCTATTGGGCTGCTTCCATCTACCAGCAAATCAGACTCCTTCAATGTCCGATGAATTGCAGGCAAAGTACACTAATTTCTACATGGAGTTCTTCAAATTCAATGAGGATGAGGCTCTTCCAAGCATTGATTGAACTGTTGCAGCAGAGTGTTTGAAGTAACCCGTGCATCACAACACCATTCCAAGCTGAGCGTGGAGGTGGTCAGCTTGGATGACATTCTGGGAGCAGATCTGGTGAACAAGGAAGCCATCGTCAAGCAGCCGCCAAGCTGCACTGGACGTGCTAACTGGTATATGACTTGTGATCTTGTGAACTAACTTGCAGGCATGCAGATTGGTTCAGAGTTCAGGATACGTATACTAAATTTTACATCCGAATACACAAGTTTGATTTTTGGTAAACCAAGTAGTCGTTGCCTCCCTTGTTTAACAGGTGAGAACTGCCTGAGCAAGCAAACATTCCTACATGGGACCCAGTGACCTAGGGGGATACTTTGGAGAGAAGAAAAAGACAGGAAGAAAGGTAAGGCTTCCTTAATAAGGAGGCCTAATATAACTTATACTTATATACTTTTTTTCCTCAAGCCATAGTCACTTCATCAAATCGAGCTTGTTGCTGAGCCACTTTACCTACGGATACACTCACTGCGACGCTTCCCATGGACATGCCAATATGCCCGCTGGTTTGCCACTGTTTGCTCACAGAAGCAGAGTGTGAACGCGATGTTATACTGGCATTTTTCTTCGTCCGCTCAGCAGTGTGATTGCTGTTTTATCCGTACATTTGCCGCGCTTTTTCCTTTGCTACCCTAAATCGAACGCTTGCTTTTGAGCTTCCTACTATGAAGTCAAGATGAAATGAGTCCTACAAGAACAACTATAATGTGCTCCGTTAGGAGGTTTCAATGTGCAAAAGACATCCCAAAACTGCCAAACCAGGTACCTCCCCAGTTTGTTGGTGCAGGCTGGGCGTTGGCAGCGACACTTTGGTGCGGCTGCTGGGCTCATTGACCCAGACCCGGCGAGAACACACGCCGGACACGGACGTCTGAGCGGCTAAGCAGTGGTTTGTGTGGCTGGTGTGGGATGCCTACATGACCCGGAGGTGGGCGCACACTCGGGCAGTCACCAGTAGGTCTGCAGGTCCTTTTTGAGCTTTTGAGGTAGGCATCCTGCGAGAGCTGTTTCATTTCAGTTTCCGAGCATGGCACAAGCTTCTAATTGCACAACTCCCAGTTTCACGGGCATTGAAATTGAGGCTGAAAATTTTGCCAGTTGAATCAAGTTCCCTGGTGCAAATCAAGCACCAAGAGTGTTGAGGCGAATTCTTATCAGAGGGGATGTACATCGGGTGTTCAATGGTCAAGATCCGTGGCAATGAGACCTCTCTTTGCCAAATCACAGCTAGACAGATTGATGCTGCTTTGTTTCAACACGGGTAAATATATGTGGCTGAGAGATGAGGGCCAGCGAGCATCCAATGCCTCTGGTTTTTCTGCACGATTGATCGGCCTCATAATGGAGGGCCGTGGCAAGCACGGCCTATATAGTGAGGCTTGGCAAAGCCAAGCCCTTTAGGGTCAACTCCGCTCCTTTTACTCCCCATTTTCCTAGCCAAGTGGTTTGCTACTCAAAGGATCGAACGGGGGGCGAAAGGAGATCAGAGCACCACGAGCAAGCACCCAGATGAGTGAAGGATGTCGAGCAAAGACAAAGCGTCCTTTTGCCATTAGAAGCGCTCTGGTACTAAGAGTAGCTTGCTTGTTGAATAGTTTCTTGCTCATTTCTATCTTGTTAATCTTGTTTCGTTGAACAATGCCTGTGCTCCAACAACATCTACTGTAAGGAAAGCAGAATGCTCCACTCTGTCCTTAGTGTATTCCAAGCTCCTCTTCTTGAACCAATTTGACAGGTGGATGCCATAGTCACATGTTTGTTGGGCGACCGGCCTGGAACTCAGTTTCAAATCGGCTGGTGCACTGGGTCTTGCACATGAATAGCCAATGATCGGACTTTTCTATACTTGTCACTTCGAGCACTTTGTTCGGCTGGTTTGTTTCTGCTCCTCATTGAACATCGAAGTCAAAAAGGCTGAGGACAGTTTTCCGCACTTCTCTTGCGGCAGACCTTCCGAGGTCCACCATCTCCTTGTTCGTTTTTGGTGAGGCAATCGGTTTCTTCTTTGATCAATCCGATGTGACACCATGCCACAATGAAATTGATGTTACTTCGAAGAAATAATACAAACATGGCATAACATTGCCATTTTGCCTATGGAACATGAATGGGTGTTCACCGTGTTCACCTCAATGGCAAAGCCACTTCTTTGTGGTTGATTGGCTGCAATCAGGCCATCGAGCACGCATCACCCAGATACGAATTTGAGATGTGGCAATTGGCCAACCAACTTACAGGACATGGGCTCAGTCACATCAGTTTGGAAGCAGATCGGAGCAGACATTAAACAGAAGAAACATGAAGAAACACAACAATACAGTGGGAACATCTCCAGCAAATTTGATCGGTCCAAAGCTTAGGGTATACACTTGTACACTTGTCCACTCGACCTTGAACATGCTTGAGCAGAGTCTTCAGCAGTTTACTGTGTTTATTACTTATACTATATACTGTATATGGAGTCCGGCCAAAAGTCTATAATCAAAAAAATAGATAAAGGGGTCGAAAGTAGCTTATGATGTTGTTTTTTCAATTAGATTATGTAGCGGGCCTCCAGCTAAGCACACCTATTCTGCAGCTGGGCGCTAGGTTTGCGGTAGACTTGCGCTAGTGACGCTAGTGTTTGCCTTAGGACATGTTCAGAACGTCGTCAGGTTTTTGAAGTGGCTGGCTGAAAAATGCGCTAGCCGCGCGCTAGCACTGCGCTAGATCCGCGCTGGCAAACATTGCCAGATTCCAGCGTGGACCCTTCCAATGCTGACTTGCAACATGTCTTTTGTTTCAAGCATGGCTTGAAGCTCGGAGATCAGCTGAAAACGGTGCAGCGCTAGTGACGCCTCTTACAATTTGGCGCCAATACTTGTTTGGTCCATGTTTCCTTCAGGATTCATTGACCTGTGCGTGCCAAAAGTAAAGAATATGTAGCGGGCCCCCCATGTGAACACGACTTTAAGCCATTTTTGGAAGAAGACACTTCGCCCAGATCCCATATATATGATATATGTATATATTGCTTTGGACCACAGCTCTTTCTAGCCGTCAAGCATCTTTCCATTGTTTTCTCAATTGTATTTGCTTTTTGACAACCAAGGTGCATCCCCCAATGGCTTGCTTGGCTTTTTGGGTTGTAGTCTTGCACAGGCCAGGAGCGAGTGACTTACTGGACCTCAACAACACTGACAGACCTTTTGTTAAATCCGTTTTTGCTCTCCAATATGTTATCGTCGGATATTCTATCTAATCGGAGACTACTATTTTCCAACACCCGCAACATATCACATATTTTGTACACACCATTAACATTGCGGCAAATAACCAAATCAAGACAGTCCAGCAGTCTCACCAAGATGTCATAGCAAAGAACGGCCTTCTTTTCATTGGGCAGTAGCGCTTTGCACGGTTCCCGTTTTTCACGTTCTTTACTACCTAACATTTTCATTGGTGGCGTTCATTCCTAATTTGACGTGTAAAGATTTGATTGTGTCTTGTGCCTTGCTCCCAATGGAATCCCGGAACCACGTATGCAGTCGATCAATCAGGTGTATTGAACATGTATTGTGTTTGCAGCGAATTTCTATGCGTCAGGCGATGGCTACTTTACCAGCTGCTGAAGTGGAGAAATCACAAAGGCGTGCGTCGGAGGTTGATTGATTCAGGTCACAGGTTGTACGGGGCAATTGTCCACGACATTTCTCACATTTACTGATTCTGTCTTGTAGCTTCCCAACATTGAATGCCATAGAGCCGTTATGAGTTGTGTGGGATTGGTGCTGCTAGGAATGGGACAATTGTTCCCTTGACACTGGTCATCACTTGTCTGATCGGCACACCGAGCGGCACCCTTTCCCAAGGCTGCTGCTCTGGTTGCCAAAGCTGTCCGATGGCAATATCGATTGGAACGCCGCCGAGGAGATTCGTTGACCATGTTGAAGAATTGACACCGACAGCATACATATTACATCATCCTGGCGTTTCGAAAGTACCACCAAAAAGGAACAAGTTGAAAAACATGGAAAAACAAGTCTTTTCAATTTTGTTCCTTTTTGGGGTGCAGGTTATATTTTTTTATTTGAATTTGGCGTGTTTGGGGAGTCCCTCCATACTTCTGAAGCGCCTCATGTCATGGGTTTGCTCATGTAGCCGCTTGGAGCTCATAATGCTTGGAAGACTAGTGCATGTTCTACTTGAGCGTAGCAAGCTAATTCATTTGCCAGAAAAAAAGTTAAAGCCTCGAGCTTAATTACTTGATTCGGACACAATAAGTGTGGAATTGCAACTTTGATCACAGTTTGCGGGAAACAAATGTAGCAGAAACTCCCGGAGTTGTAGCGGAATCTCCCGAAGAGAAAATTGGACCTTGAATGCGTACACCAAGTTTCATAGCCTGACTGGGACCGTCTTCGAAACCAACAACATGCAAGCCCGGGCCATCAGTTTATCCTCAACCCTGCGACCTTCATTGTGAAGTTAATGAAGACTTCCTTGGAATAATTTTGAGGATTTCAAGGCGAGAGTCAAGAAACATTTGCAAAAGAAAGCCTGAGGTGAAAACATGACAGTGATTGACTGCAGCATATCTTTCGCGGTCTTCCAATTTTCACTATGACTGCGGTGTTCCCTTTTCATTTTTTTCCATCAAAAGTCCTTTGTTCCTTTTGGAGCGACATGGAGGTTCTAGGATATTACCAGTCTTTGTTGAACCGACAGCATGTGGAATCAACGTAAGTTGAGTTGTTGCTTTCTAGTCTATCTTCAAACAACAGCCCTCGGAATCGTACGGGCTCAGCATCCCAGGCTAGCTCAGAGAGTGTTCGTGCGAGTCTTGATTCTATGCCCTTTACTATCTTGGTAGTATCTTGGCGTACTCTGGGGGACAATTTAAAGAACTTTATATGCGAAGGCTGGTTTGCCGCCTTTCACCTCTCATGTCCTAGCCACTGTCGTTTCAGAGTCACGCATGTAGATTCTACAGTTCTACGCATGAAAACCGCATAGAGGTCAAACCAACATTTGCTAGCAGGAGATTTAGAGCTCTGTTTGATGTTGACATCAAACCCAATAACTATATATATAGCCAAAAAGGATAGATTCAAAGCATCTCAAAAGCTGCGCCGTTGTTTTCGCTGTCGCCACTGTTAGCGACCCCAGAGGAAATCGCGATTTTTTGTGGGGTTGGGTTGGGGTGGGGCGGGGCACGTGAACGTTCGCTTGCACTTGCGCCACGAAGTTGATGCTTCGTGTTTGATGTGGGGTGGGGTGGGGTGGGGCATGTTAACGTTCGCTTGCACTTGCGTCACGAAGTTGATGCTTCGTGGTTGATGTGGGGTGGGGTGGGGTGGGGCATGTTAACGTTCGCTTGCACTTGCGTCACGAAGTTGATGCTTCGTGGTTGATGTGGGGTGACGCAAAACGCGTCGATCAATATGTCCGCAGTTTTCAGTTTCGGTGGAACAACAGAGGAATTTTGCTTGAGGCGTTGGCCCCGAACGTGACCGCAAGTGTAAAGAACATACACCTGCAAAACGCGTGTGCGCCAAAAAAGGAGTGCACTTTCTGCTCTTCCCCACTCTAAATTCCACGTTACAAGTGCCGTCCATTCTAAAAAAATGGGATGAGAGCACATATGATCCAACCTCTCCCGAATGAAAAAAAGGAAAAAAATGGGAGGCTTTGAGCACTGTCCACTTCGGCGCTGTGCGAATCGCACAGGGTCACTATTAGCGGCGGTACCTTGTTTTCTCAATACTGAGAGCTCAAAAGGGAATCACGCTTGAAGCGTGATAGCACTTGTTGCTGGCAGGAGTGGAGGAGCAGCTTCAAGTCCGCAAGATAGGGCGGTCTCACTTAGGGCACGGAGTGAGAGGAAAGGCTGGCT